CAGCATGACGAGTACGGAACACAAAACAACACGCACACTAGCAGCCAAACATAGCACCGACCGAGAGAGCAATGAGCCGCTGCAACTACGTGCGCCGCCATTTTGCTATGAATATGGTAAAGTCATGTGACTGACCGCAAAAAAAAACTGTTGGTGAAGAGGAGTTTCAGATTTCAGGTGTTTCATGTGTTTCAGATATCAGGTGTTTCAAGTATTTCAAGTATTTCAGATTTCATGTGTTTCAAGTGTTTCAGGTATTTCAGATTTCAGGCGTTTCAGATTTCAGGTGTTTTGAGTGTTTCAAATGTTTCGAGTGTCTCATGTGTTTGGAGTGTATCAGATGTTTCAGATACTGTATCAGATGTTTCAGATACTGTATCAGGTGTTTCAAGTATATCATGTGTTTCAGGTATTTCAGATTTCAGGTGTTTCGAGTGTTTCATGTGTTCCGAGTGTTTCAGAATTCAGGTGTTTTGGGTGATAAACAACAGTTACTTGAGTTCTTTATGTAAAACTGAAAGTTCAGTACCTCCAGGAAGTTTACTGAAATGATTCCTGTCCTGTCTTTGTCCAGCCCTTGGAAGGTCCCTGAGGAAMAGACACAAGATCATACTGTATCAGACCAGTTCCGAACCAGATTATATATAAACCAGATCAGTTGAAAGTCTGAGTTCAGCTTAAAGACTTGATTGTGGACCCATCAGGACTGGGTTCTGGTTCTGTACGTACTGAACATGACCTCCAGCTTGATGACGCAGCAGGTGAAATTGTCGAAGTCGATAATCTCGTTGTCGGCGTATCGAGCAATCAGCATCTGGTAGAGCTTGTTGTTCAGCCTGAATCCTGCAGAGGAATCAGATCTCAGGTCAGGTACACCAAAGTGAGTCCACTAAGACCACCGAGTCCACGTTCAGAACCAAGAGAACTCACCACCGTTCTCCAGGGCCAGTCGCATTTCATAGGAGTTCATGCAGCCAGACTTATCCAGGTCAAACTCTCTAAAGATTCCCTGAAACACAAGACCAGCGTGTTTCAGACTGGGTCGGTTCTACCAGTCCTCCAGCTGATGGACTTGGACCCAGTGGGTCATCTTGCTGATGGACCTGCACTCACCAGCCACTTCCTGATCTTGTTCCAAAGGGTCTGAAACTCCAGCAGACCGAGCCGAGCACTGCCGTCTTTCTGAGGTCCAGTCAAGGTTGGACAGGTTTATGTGACTGGCTCCAAAGATCCAAGAGTGGACCCARAAGACAGATTATTTTGACTGACCCCAGAACTAGTCCTGACTAAACCCAAATYTGAGCCTTCCAGAGCCAGGTTCAGGCAGGTTTGGGGTCTTTTTGGTCCTGTTGGACTAAGGGAGGATACATCCAAAAGGCTAACCATGGCCCTGCAGGACTCCATGCTGAATCCATCTGTCTTCAAATCTCCATCTGCAGTCACAGGAAAAACCAAGACCAGGTTCAGAAAGGTAGACCTAAACCTCAAGGTCTGTAAGTGTCCCCAGGCTGGATTAAGTATTTAGGTGAGACTCACGTTTGGATACAACTCTGTTGAGTACAGTTCTGAGTTCTCCAACTGAGATCTCCATGTCCTGAAAACAGAGAACAGAGTCCCTCTCAGATAGTGGATCTGTTTGGATCCACATTCAGACCTGGGGAGGTCAGAACCGGTTGTTCAGAAACTGAACTCACGTCTCCAGACAGCTGGGCGAACATGGATCTGAAGGCATTGTCGATGTCCCTCTCCGAGATGTCCTCCTGCGGAGAAGAACATCACAAACCTCTTTAGGACAGGAATGTCTTCTGTGATTGGACACCTTYAAAGACAAGTGTCCCACCTCGTCCTCCATGTCGGCATCCACCGTGTCATCCATGTCCCTGCAGAGACACACAGTCACTCAGAAAAACTGAATCACAAGATAAAACGTCCTCCTGGTTCCTGCTGGACTCACCTGGTCTCACACTGTTTCTCTGTGAACACCCTCAGGACAAAGTCCGCCTCCTTCGAGGGTTCAAATGTGGACGGGACAATCAGGTATTCGCCAGGTGGGAGGCGGAGCCTGGCGCTCACCTCCCTCAGGTTGATGAAGGTGTCAGAACGAGCACAGGAGGACTGACGCAGGAAGAACTCCTTCTTCATGTGGACTCTAGGGGAACCTCTAACCTGCCAAGTCCCCAGTTCGGTATGGAAAGAYGGAGTTACCGAAACAATAAAACAAAAAAGATATAAATCCATACTTGGCTGAAGACCTCACCTCCTCAGGAATCTGTCAATGAGAGAAACACATGGGAGGAGTTAGAACCAGAACAAGGATCCTACTGAAACCCCAACAGGTCTAAGACCCCCTAACTGATCCTGGAACAGCAGCCAATTTCAAGACTGTGTTACGATGGTTACAAAATGTTTGCTTCTGATGGGCTCGACACATGAGGAGCAACAAGTGACAGTGATTAATGGCTGTCATCGCTGTCAGGGTGCAACCCCAATACGAGACATGACGGTGATGGCAGCATTGAGAATCGCGCTCTCGGGTCGCTTGTCTTCAAGAGATCTGATTGGTTCTTCTGCTGCTTCGTGTAAATGTTATTGGTGTTTGGGAGACAAATATAAAGAATGGTGTGTGTTACCAACATGTGAACTAAACAAATTTTGCAATGCTACAACAACAAAAGGTAAACATTTTTTAACTTCATATGTCGCATTACAAGCTTGCATGTGCACGTCTATGTGTACGAGCGTGAAATTTCAATGAGTTCCGCTGGTCGCTTGGATGGAAGAGGGTGAGCAACTATTGCCTCATCGCWCAAGTTTAATAGGAAATGACTGGAGGGAGAGCACTCCTGATCCAGAACTTCTGTTCTAAACCCTGAATTTAGAGCTCCTGATCCAGAATTGTCCTGAGCYAAACAGGCAGAGGTGTCAARTAACTAAGTACAAATACTTTGTTACTTTACTTAAGTAGTAATTTTGGTTATTTATACTTTAGTGGAGTAATTATTTTTCAGACTACTTTTTACTTCTACTTCTTACATTTTAATTCAATTATCTGTACTTTCTACTCCTTACTTTTTAAAAATGAAAAAAGTATTTCATTTCTATTTAACTTTGACTCATTTTTATTCATCTTTYCATTGGTCAGAAAAAAATAATACATATAAATCTATCCAGACACATAGAGCCAGAGTGAATTTGATTGTGGTTGATGAGAAGTGTAAATATAAGTGTAAAAAGCATAAATACATACCATTCTGACATCCTATTGGGTTGAACTCACTCCATCACACCTGTGTACTAGTTTCCCTTCACTGCTACATCTAGAAATTCTCCCACAGACAAGGATTTCTTTGGGAGAATTTTCGTCCGGGCCAMTCAGAGAACAGAAGGAGGAGTTTTGAACGACGTTGATGTTCTGCGCAGTGTCTGCTAGTTATTTTATCAATGGCAGTGGAGGAAGTGAATGAAGCCAGTCTGTGTTGATAAGGCTTCCAAATTAAAATAAATTAGTCTGACAAAGCAGCAGCTCTCATTTAGTCGTCTCGTTCGGGTCGGTACATTTCTTCTCTCAGTAGGGTTTTTTACAGTACATGCATTTTCTTGTTAGCTTCTTAGCCTAGCCTCTTTCACAGCAACATACGTCGTGGCCAACCGATCCAATCATTTTAAACTTCAGCAGAGGCCACGCCTCCTGCAAGAATCACTTCTCTATAGCTGCGAGTCCAGACCCTCGTACAAAACAAAGTGAAGGACAAGGATCTGATTTTTACCAGGCTAAGTCTAGTCAGTTAATTCCAAAATTTTCAACATTTTATTTTAACATTATACTCATTATTGACTTTAGAAGAAAAATTGTGTGTGTATGTGTGTGTGTGTGGGGGGGGGGGGTGCTATCAACCCTGAGGCACAGCCTAAGATTTTATCTTTAATGGCCTTTTTTATAGTGTTCATTTCTTTTACTTTTATATTTTAAGTAGTTTTAAAACCAGTACTTTTATACTTTTACTTRAGTAAAAAGCTTGAGTTGATACYTCTACTTCCAAAAAAGTAATTTTAAACCCTAGTATCTATACTTCTACTTAAGTAATGAATGTGAATCCTTTTGACACTTCTGCAAACAGGTAAATCAGGAGTTCAGGATCAGAGCAGGTATGTGGTCTCAGGGACAGGGTTTGTTGGAAGAAGATCAGAACTGAGAGACCCTGGTGGAASTTCTGGTACCTCATAGATGGCAAAGCCAATGGTGTGCATGTCCTGTCCCTGACGGCGGTACCACCGGCGGTCCTTCTGCATCAGAGCCACCAGGAAGCTGCAGGCGGCCTCTTCATCTTCTGGGTCGTCGTCTTCCTCCAGCAGAGAGATCTTATACTGAGGGTTGATCCAGAAGGTGTCTGCAGAGAGGCATTATGGGACATGTAGTCATCCTAACCCTAACCCTAACCCTAACCCTTACCGCGTAAGAAGTTGAAATTTGTGTAGTGATTGACTACACTTTATGGCCACATCTTTAAAGCTTCACCCAGAAAAAAAAAACGTATAAAAATACCTTAAATGAAGGCCAGGAAGTGCAATTCTTCTCTGAGCCAATGAGAACCGTTCCTGGGGAAAACGCCCATAATGCACTGGGAGAAAATGCATAAACTGCACCGTGAGTCAGAGGGAAAGTTCATTAATAGACTTCCCTGGATTTTGTATGGATATTGGATTACCCACAATGCAGTGGGGCACTTGTARGGAAGTCTTTTTCTTCCACACAATCTTTAGCCAATAACACTGCTCCCTGGTAAATTACCCATAATGCAATGTGTAAAACTATATATAGGCAGATATCTTTTCTTTGGCACCATTAGTCAARAGGGCATGACTCAGCTTGACTTACCCAGACCCTTGCCACTCCCACTAAGACGGCAGATCCATGAGGATTACTTTCTGGTAAGTCTGTCAATTTATTATGCACAATTCTGGAGCTGTGTGATGTATGAGCATGGAATCAGGTTTAACACTTCTGGGGTTTTGTGGTGTATGCAACACAGATTTTGTTGCCTGATTCTGATGGTTGTCTGGTATTTTGGTTGGTCATAGCCCATGATCGACTCCCCATGGCTGACTGCTGAGTGGGACCAGATCTACAGCCTTACCTGAACAGGTCGGGKTAACCTAACAGTGTCAATAAACGACCTGTTTACCGAATGGTACTAGGTAGGGAGGTAAGTATGCGGCCYCCCTGAGTTTGTCCTATTGGAACAACGCACACAGGGTGTGGTGGTCCAGGGCATCAGGACATTAATTGTGGCCCAATCTTCTATGAGGGTTAGCCTCTCTCACATGCACCATACATTTGCATCACACACATCGAATCTGGTTAAACCCTTAAAGGATGCTGGACTTTGGTGTTACCAGGTGTCCTTCATTTCAGGCATTTCTTGAATTATCTTCTGATTGTCACCAACCCCTAAACCATCACATCCCCTAGTCCAGCTTAGGTTAATAGGCCATGGATGCAACAGGACGTAGGCATACTTTACCATCYCATTTACTCCTACCTGCTTGAACCTAGCCCAGGTCATTTTCTCTAAAACTAACCTTAGTGGCTTTACGCCTCATACTAACTGGGTTGCATATTCTACCCTGGTATTGGGGAACACAACAACCTTGAGAGTCCGGTCTACTTTAACCTGACCCAGGTCATTTTCTCTAAAGCTAACCTCAGTGGCTTCATGCCTCATATTAACCAGATTGCACCTGAGTATCACAGAATGGACAATTCAACTAAACTGGCTCTTTTGACACACAGCGAGGCTTGATCAACGCTGTCTGGGCCATCCTTGGGTGAGGGTGTATATTGGTAATGGCCAAAACACCCAAGGTTCCTGAGGTTTACTATTGATGATGTGTCCTACATTAATTCCTTKATTGACCACTGAAGGAAATACCAACTTGTGAGTAATGATAACTGAAACACCCAGACGGTAAACTTGTAAGTAAAGATGATGGAAATACCTGTACAGGACACTTGTGAGTACTTTATGTATCAGGACAGCCTYTGTTTATCTATTTATTATCACGACTGATGGTGTGTTCTAAATGAATTCATTAAATAACCGAGGACGGTACACCTGTACRGTGAATTGGTAAGTCGTCTGCACATCACAACAACCTTTATTTACMTTTTATTATGCTTGGGTTTGACCTAAGGAGAGAGGTGCTACTGACGAACGTGCACCGGTCCATGGATTTTACCTTTCGTTCCCCAGTTCAACTGCCCAGTCGTCAAACGAGGTGGGGGGGGGTCATCGAGAGAGTGTAAAATTCTAACCCTAACCTTAACGTTCAAGTCACCTGCAGCCTCCAAMCTGTCATCACTGGCCCTATGGTTTACTGGCCATCCTAACAGAACCCGTCTTAACAGAACCCATCCCAACAGAACCTCTGGAGGAGACGTGATGTGACAGAGAACAGTTGTGTATAGTCTAAGATCCTGTCCTCACTTGGGTGGTTCCTGCAGCCCCCGGCRGTGCTTCCTTTCCTCCAGCTGCCCTCAAACGTCATGGTGGTCCAGAATCTGGTGGTGTCCTGACTCAGAGCATCTGGAGTCAGATTGCAGATCTCCAGACGTGAAAACTGACGCAGAAACTCCTGAAACGACATCCTGACAGACAGAAAGACATCTCACTAGACTCTGAAGCTCCAGGACTTGGACCTATCCTCTCAGTTTGGACCTACCAGAACTCGCCGTCCTCCATCTTACACAGCAACTCGTCCTTCTCTGCAGAGTCCACATGGTTCCACTCAGAGGAGCTGAAACATGAAGGTCCACCTCAGAATCTGAGTTCTGTGTTTACATGAAGGCTTGTGTAGCACCTCTGAGGACTCACCTGTCGCTCCAGGCTCCAGTCCACTCCACCTGACCCCAGGGATTCCTGATCCGGATCAGACGCTCCTGCTGGCCCCGGTACTCCACCTGCAGAGGACAGACAGAAAGGCAGGATTAAAGAGAGACAGGAATGCTTGTTGTCTGAGGACAACACCTGTCTTTTCTGAAGACACCTGTTCTTCTCTGAGGATAACACCTGTCTTCTCAGAGGACAACACCTGTCTTCTCTGAGGACAGCACCTGTTCTTCTGACCATCCACCATGAGGTCCAGCAGGAGAGTCAAACCTTACTTACGTCTCTGAGTCCTGTCACGGAGTAGGCGTGACCTTTCACCAGCTTCTTGAAGGTGACAGCTTCCATGTCGAAGGCGTTGGTGATCTGAGGACAGAGCAGATGCGTCAGATGGACAGGAAGCCCCAGCTGATGAGTGAAAACAGTACAGAGAGCAGTGACTGACGTCGATGGAGCAGCCCAGCAGGGATCCTCTTTCCAGAGCTTTGCTGATGATCCGATGAAGATCTCTGGGAGCCTTCTTCAGCTCGTACATCTCTGACACACCACCTGTGAAATCCTCAAAGCCTTCARTGGTGCTGCCGCCGGACAGTGCCTCATAGGATCCATTCAGCCTGAGAGGGAGGGGGGCATAACATCAGCAGAACCAAGAAAAGGGTTCTTCTGGTTACTGAAGAAACAAAAAAATCAGGTGAGTTCAGAAGCAGCAGAAGGTTCTAGGATGGGTGGATGGATGGATGGATGGATGGATGGATGGATGATGGATGGATGGATGGATGATGGATAGATGATGGATGGATGGATGGATGGATGAATGATGGATGATGAATGGATGGATGGATGGATGGATGATGGATGGATGAATGATGGATGATGAATGGATGGATGGATGGATGAATGGATGATGGATGGATGAATGATGGATGATGAATGGATGGATGGATGGATGAATGGATGATGGATGGATGAATGATGGATGATGAATGGATGGATGGATGGATGGATGGATGGATGATGGATGGATGAATGATGCATGATGAATGGATGGATGATGGATGGATGAATGATGGATGATGAATGGATGAATGATGGATGATGAATGGATGGACAGATGGATGGATGGATGGATGGATGATGGATGGATGAATGATGGATGATGAATGGATGGATGGATGGATGGATGGATGGATGATGGATGGATGAATGATGGATGATGAATGGATGGATGGATGGATGGATGGATGGAAGTCTTACTTGGCATAAGCCTTCTCCAGCAGGGCACTCCAGAACTCACTTCCCTCTGCAGAATGAACAAASAGCARCTCCCCGTCTTTGACCGGCAGCCGGTCATCGATCACCACGTCCACCCACTCCCCGAACTGCCAGAACTGAAGACAGAGGGACAGACTGAGAGACAGACAGATAGATAGATGGACTATGGAACTGTATTTGGGCCAAAATTAAGACTATTGCTCAGTCAGTGGTTGCTACATCCTTGTAGCAGGAGGCTATATCTATTCCTAACCAGCTATTGATCTGATTAATGATAGGTCAGCATCGCTAACTGAGCAGCTGGTGCTGGCGAATAAGGAGACTATTCGTTTGTGTTAGCATCAGAGGCTTCATTATAAATGAAGTGGGTGTGGCCTGTTGACCTGATGCTCTTCATTATTAAGTGAAGTGGGTGTGGCCTGTTGACCTGATGCCTCTTCATTATGGGATGCAGTGGGTGTGGCCTGTTGACAGGTGCAATCTCACCTGGAAGTGAAAAATGCCAGCATATTGGTTGTTGAAGCTCTGGCCGTGAGGTACCACTCGATGCAGCAGCCGTTCGTTCAGAGTCAGAGAGCCGATAGCAGCCAGCAGCCAGCAGTCTCCTGGAAMAATCCAGAGTCAGAACCAGAATCAGAATCTCTTATTTTCACCAAGTATGTTACACATACAAAGAATTTGACTTAAAGTTGGCACATGACACAAGCACCCTGCTGATGTAGATCTCCTGAAAGGTTGGAAGAATAGATACAACCATCTGAGGTCTGAGGTTGTTCTTCCATGAAGCAGCTCTGTTGTCCTCCATCCATATTTTCAGTTCCAGRCTGAGTCATTTCTACCTTCTCCTCTCTGTCAACGCTCTCTGGTTTCATTTAAAAGAGTCGATCATCAGATATTGTCCAAGATTAACCTTCAGGGTGGATATAGCTCGCTAGCAGCCTCGCACCGAGGACCTATCCACGTCATCATTTACCCAGAATGCTTTGTGTGCAAATAAAATGGCTCCGTCCGTGTTAAAATATGTTTTTAAACTTTTAGTTTGAAAATTATAAAAACTGAACATCCTACAGTATTTTTACAGTTAAAGTATATGTTTATCAAATAAAGTCTGTTCAAACTAATAATGGATCCCTTTAAAACTTCAGTTTGTCTTTTTATGGATAAAAATTGCACTTTTTGTTAGATGCTGTGCACCTGGAAGGATGTTTGCTGATACTTTGTTACTTTTGGACTTTTGACATGATGTGTAAATATAGGAACATGGTGGTTTTGTTATAAACAGGAGCAGCTGATAAACATCTCAAAAGCTYAAATAATCCTTCAGCTACAGCCCCAAATCCCAGATGAGTTGAAAAGGAGGTGCCGTGTATGGAGAGCAGGAGTCAAGAGGGGAGAGAGAGAGGAGGAGGAAATTCAAACACAAGCAGAAATGGGGATGCTGAGTGAGCCCACTAAAACCACCTCTGCCCATCATTTTTCTGACCAACACCATATCTGAGGTCAATAAGATGGAGGAACTGAATTCCGCTGTGTGTTACAGAGACCTGGTTATTAACAATAATAATATTACATCAAACATGTAATGCTCTTTAGAATACTCAAAGACGCTTTACAAGAAAAGGAAAAATATGGCAACATAACAAATACACTGTAAAATTGTGAAGGGGATGACRGTGGGTAGGCCAGGTTGAATAGGTGGATTAAGTAGTGATCTGAAGTGAGMTAAAGAGTCAGAGTTCCTGAGGGATGGGGCAGCAGTGGAAAAGGCTCCACCCCCCCAGGGCGTGGTACGCCAGGCCACAACAACCATTGTCCCAGGTCTCTGTACACAGAAAACAATGAAAGAAAAGAAGTCAGCAGATTGTGTTGAATCTTCACTTCATCACAGTCTCCCAKCCTGAGCAGCACAAGTGAAGTCTATTTTGGACCATAATGTATCCAAGSGGCCGCATAGAGAATGCAGAGGAGTGGACCAAGCACTGAGCCTTGAGGGACCCCATGGATGAGACATAGTGGTAATGGTCAGAGAAATAGGAGGTGAGCCATTTAAATGCTAAACCTATACTGCCAAAAACTGAGTGTAGATAGCTCAGTGGTGTGGTTACACTCGCTAATCCCACAAGCTACATCCCAGAAGTTACATCCCAGAAGCTACATCCCAGATGCTACATCCCAGAAGTTACATCCCAGAAGCTACATCCCAGAAGTTACATCCCAGAAGCTACATCCCAGAAGCTACATCCCAGAAGCTACATCCCAGAAGTTACATCCCAGAAGTTACATCCCAGAAGCTACAGCCCAGAAGCTACAGCCCAGAAGCTACAGCCCAGAAGCTACATCCCAGAAGCTACATCCCAGAAGCTACAGCCCAGAAGCTACATCCCAGAAG